GAGAAGCACTTGTATGTCTGCGTGCACGAAGAGGGAACGGTGAAGTGGCCGTTAGAGAGTGGAAGATTGCGTTTGATGTGATAATTTCTTCATTAAGGATCACTGGTCTCGATCTTTTTTTCAACTCATGAATTAAAGTTGGTTGTGCCTCATATATATTCTTCAACCTGTTCATTTGCGAATCAATTAGTTGTGATTCATGTAAATGTTTGTGAAAAACCACTGCTGGAAATGTTTAGATTTAGGCTACTGGAGTGAATGAGACGGTACGAACAAGATCGTACAAGTGAGAAAATGCAAATGGGACAAAAAAATAGGTAAATAATTTTTTTATCGAATGGCTGAATCAAATCATGACAATTCGCCAAATCTCAAGGGGAGAATAGTTTTATGCATAAGTACTCGGGCTGCCTGACCAGTCCCCTCTCTCTCTCTCTTTCCTGAGTACTGTACGTTTGTGTGGGAAGGAAACCGTGGGTGCTCGAAGAACAAGAGCACCCCCTCCACCTCCCCACGTATATGGTAGAAAAACCAAACCGACGCAAACGCACCAGAAATCCAACTTGGCTGGCCCTTCTGTCACCTTAGTAGCACTTCGCTGATCCCGTAGCAGGCGAGGTTTCTGGTGTGCGTGGTTTGAGCGAACCACCACCACCGGGCCTCTCTTTCTCGAAGGCGCTGGATATACAGCCGTGCGCCACCATACCCGGGGAATTCCACCGTGGGCCCCGTCAGCAATGGCGATTTTTGTGACACCTTGTCCATCGGGTGATTGGGAATGAGTTAAAACAACAACGATTCCGACAGCCCTCTTTGTGAACAGTAGTGAAGGCGACCCGTTATTATTAAGATGATTTTTTTTACCCAGGAAAAGCTTCACCGAGTCTCAAGACTCAGTGGGGTCCTGCCAAGTTTTATGGGTAATTTTTTTGCGGCGCCCTGGGAACTCCCTTGAAATGGAACATCCCTTTTGCAAGTGCGTCTTTCAACATGTATATAGCATACACATAATGACACGTATATTCAAAATATATATCTATATCTTGAACAGTATGGGGACATACAATGAATATTGTATCCAGTCATATATATAAATAGATGGTTCAATTGTGCACGCAGCCAGTTTATATAGATGTACAAACACGTCAAGGCTGTAACCGATAAATGCTAACCACAACACAAATAAAGGCTGTCTTACATTTTAAACAAACACAGCGTCTACAGTTTTAAGTCCGTGGGGACAAACTACGACGCTGGTTATTATTTTGGTAAAACTCTTTTGGTTGTAATAAATCATAGTTCTACTAAATTTTCGACGACTGCAGTACGAATGTTAAAGGAAAATGTCAATAAACAGACTGGCCAAGAGGCAGTTATACGAAGAGATGAGGCTTTCCTGCAGCACGGATTCGATTCTTCAATAGGTCATGGAGGTTGCATAAATCTACGTCCTGTTGAATGTGAGCAAAGTCGGGTAGAATAGATGAAGATGGCTTTCAGTAATTCAGAATCTTTATTCATGCTGGAGGAATCCGATGAGGTTATGAAGCTCTTTTTCACAGATGTCCATTCGAGGTGGGGTCAGAAAGCTACAACAACGAAGAATACAAACATACGATAGGAGTGCAAACTATAGGAAAGATAAGCAAATCACTAAAAAATCTATAATTTTATTTTACCAGGTAAAGCGCACCGAGGTTTAAACTTATTTTTCAGAAGCAACCTGGCCACAAATGATAGCTCAACTAGAAGTGGCTTGTGGAAATGTATAGCAGCCAAATAATCTAAATGATGTAAACGCATGCTTCTAAATGCGTGTGATAGAAAGACTGGTGCAGGACACGAGGAGAGAAGAGCGGTGGCTTCTCCAACCTTTTTGGAATATTGACCGTCATTGTAGACCACTGCCTCCCCCCCCCCTCCCCCACCGCATCCAACCCCCCACCTCTGGCCGCAAAATCACAGCTAAGGTTACTCGGACCACAAAACCAAGATCACATGTCCCCACGCCTCGAGTCAACGTGGTGTTCGAAAGGAATTTGTTTCATGTTGTTTGGTCGTCACAGTGTGTCCGATGACATTCCTCGTGCACATTTGAAATTTATCCTGCACGGTATCCATGCCACAGGCTGTGTCCCTTGAATAAAATTTCGCTGCCCCCTAGGGGACGGGGCCAACACAGATATGATTAAAGCGGACTCGACCAGAGGAGAGGGGAACGGCAAGAGAATCCGAGCAGCCAACCCCTTGTGAGGAATAACTGAGTGAAGTTGCTTTTTACGCGTGTGAACGCACACTGGGAGTAACATCACAGGACGAGGCTGTACTGTGGGAATTCGAAATTAATGCAGGGCTTTTGAAGAGTAGTTGCCGATGGGTCAGAGAGCCACCGACAGGAAATTGATGGGGGTTGGCGACCTTAGCCTTTCCACTACAACTCGTGGTCTCCTGACCTCAGTGACCACGGCGGCCCCATCCCCCTTCTCCCCCCCTTCGTCTCTCTCGGCGACGTGAGAAGTGCGCTGGTTGCATCTGGATAAGTGTTTGGTTTGTTTGAGCAGGGCAAATGGTAATTGCGTTTAAAAGTGCTCGAGAATAATCATTGACACGGGGCTACTCTGAGGAGGGTCATGTAGCCCACCGCCCCACTGCTTTTGCGTTGTCCGCGAGCACGCAAATGCCATTGCAACGTGGAATCTGGTAGCTTGCGGATCGCTGATGCAATGCCCCCATGGGACTCCTCTGAGCCAGCACTGCTAAGGGCCAGTTGTCATTGCTGGAGCAAGCTGGATTTGTGACATCCTGAGACCATGAGCAATGGCAATGATGTGTGGTGGTTTTCTTCCAGCGGTGGCTGCTGATGGTATCGTTGTCAGGACACCTGCCCAACACGGAAAACAGGATATTCCAGGCGTGACTAATGTAGTTCTTGCACATAATTGCAAATATGCTCTTGTTGAGTTATTATTACATTTAATTAATATAATGGGCACAGATTACATAAACACCATGCAATGTGTTGGTGTTTAACAGGGAATGGATGACTTGGATTTAAACATTTAGGATTTTTTATGACGATTTAGGATTTTAAAAAATATGTTTTTCAGATTTTTTAATAATTTACGTTCCATACCAATGTCAAATGTCTCCGTGCTAACAATAGTTACATCACCCCATGCCACGTTTAGAGCTACTTTTGGCAAGTAAAGTGTGAAAGTGACATTACACTAGTTCTGTCACTCCTGGGTTTTCAGATGAATCTAACACAACATGTATGTTTTCTATTACCTGAAATGTCCTAACTGCACTTGACTCTCAGATACATGGTGAAAATCGGGAACACATCCATTCTATTTAAGCAATCTTACCCAAACAACTCTGACATGGATAATCGTGGTCGCAAAAGCATTCGTGTTAAACTAACACAGCCATAGCTCATAATAATGTAGTGTACCATAGGTATGTCATTCACCTTGTCAGTTTTCCAGTGCCGTAGATACGTTGCTGCTGCTCACTGCCTATCTTTAAACACATAAACATCGCAGGACTAATGGCAGCCTCCAACTAAATTATTTGGGGATATCAACCAAATCCAATTTTCTTGAACAGCTCCACTTGTCCCATTCACACGATTTAAAAACATATCCACCGTTGGTGACATTGGTTAGGATATTTGACTGAACCCCAAGTGAATGGGTGGGGGGGGCTGATGGTGGTTTCATGTGGGAGCCACTGTTTAAACAATGTATGCGTGTTTACTCCCAGAACTTCCCGGGGTCTTGCCCTGCAGACCACAATGGTTTACAGTGAAATGCGGACTCGAAACATGCACAATGGCAACGGCCGTTAGTCCTCTGCTGCTGCCACTCTTAATGGTCGACTTGTTTAGACAACTTGCTGATCAAAATCCTGGTGCTTGCATCTGGCAGCCGTCGTGAGTGAGGTTACCTGTGGCGACGTTTGGGAATACGATGCAGTATACAGGCAAGGATACACTTCACTACCCGTGTTAAGTGTGGGTGGCGATTGGACAGTGACCTTTTGACACCATTCCCACTGAAGTGCAATGCACTTTGTCCATCAATTATCCAAGGAAGAACTTAACCACTTGTTCACAACACACCGCACTCCTTTGCCACTGGAAACGATCGCTATCCCTGCAAGTGATTTTTTTTTTTAAACTGGAGACATGCGAGGTTTCTCAAGGATTTCCACCAATTTCTCTAGATTGTTTTAACGTTTCTCTGTTGTTTTCAGTTAACACACACACAGGCTAAATTCAAACAGCTGTAAAGAAAGAAACATTACCAAGGCATTGTGTTCGACTCTCTTTTGTTCGGCTACTCTTCCCATGTCAGGCCAGAGACTCTTTTCAGCACCCCCTTCTTTAACGCTGTTGTAACTTACACCGAATAATATAAAGCATTACGATGTCAGTCACCTGTATCTGTCGGTAGGCTGTTGCATAAGATAAGTGGTTGGCTATGAAGAGCAAGGCACAAAAATGACTGTAATTTCTTTCCTTTGCACGAGGGTCCTTGCCAACCACGGGACGCCATGGGGGGTGGGGGGGGGGAATCATGCTCATTGCACAAATGCAGCGTGGATATATTTACCTTTTCCCATTCCGAGATGTCTGAAAGTTGCAGGGTGGGTGTCCCGTTCACTGCTGAATCTCGGAACTCGCAAGTGGTTGGGCATTAATTTTATATTGAGGTGTACCGCTGTTCTTTTTAAAGACATTGTAGTCACCGCGGAGAACTGTAGCGACACGCCCGCGCTTTGAGATAGCCGGCGCCAAACTGTGCAGCACTCTCCTCCCGCATGGCTTTGTGGGAGCTTCGGTACTGATGAAGTCTTTTTTTATTGTATCTTCCGGTTCCATTCCAATGACATACACGTACGGGATGATGACGTACACACATGTCATCAGAACGGAATCGGAATAAAACTGATGTATGGGGAAAGGCTTAAATGGTCGTTGTTGATTTTTGTGGCAGGCGAGTCTGGCCTGGGAAAGTCGACGCTGATCAACTCGCTGTTCCTCACCGACCTCTACGCGTCCGAGTACCCGGGGCCCTCCCAGCGGGTCAGAAAAACCCTCCAGGTAAATGACGTGGCGTGCTGCAGCAGGTATTAAGCGAGTCGTATACTGGTATTCCATCGGTTTTATTTTGGAGTGTCAATCTTTTATCTGTTTTGCTTCGGTAAAGTAGATTTTGTTCGCGGACGACGCTCCTCTCTGTTAGTGGCCTTGAGCCAGTGGTAGAAGTCACTCTTTGCATAGGACAGCTGTTTTTGAATCCCCACTATGTTGTGATGCTCGTGGAGTAGGAGTCTGGGATGTGCAAATCTCGGTGGTTCTGGCTCGGTGCTCCAACACCCTACATCCCACATTTATTTTAATTTATTTTTACAATTTCTGTGTCTTATTTTGTTTACAATTTCTGTCTTTTTTTTCACCAAATGTATCCCAATCGTGATATCGGCCTCATGTCATTTGACGAAGCAAGCATTCTAATCTCACGCGAAGCAGCGCAACCCTTTGTGTGCGAGGAACGGCCCACAGAAACGGATATCACAGAGCTACCTCTGAGATCCTTTCAAGCGACTTCTGGTCCACACAGTCGTAGAATGCAGCACTTTCCCACCCGCCCTGCCACCGCAATTAATGTTCATCGCATTACAGTCAAACCAACATTTTAAATCCTTCATGCTTAAAGTTAGTCTAAGTAAGGGATTTTTTTTGCGTGCAGTCATTAGCAAAATGGCTGAAACCACGAACTGACTACACTCAGGACCTGGTTTCATCACATGCGGCTGAAACCTGGCTTCGAACTCGGGTTCTCAGCGATGGCCGGTTCAACGTTTTGACCTCTTAGCCACCCGCGCCACCTCAACTGAATCCCACATTGTATCACCACCAGCCCTGTGGAGCCACCTTTGTTGTTTTTGCTGCTATGAAAATTGGTTCATTTGTCCGCTGCCGTCTCTGTAATTGAAATGGATCGACTTGTTTGTGTGGGCTCGGCGAGGCATTGTGGGTCGAGGCAGTGGGGGGGGGGGGGCCTTTTCAGTATTTGTGCATGGCATGTGACACCACATTCCGTGGTGCATTCCATTGCCCCCAGTCTCCTCCTGGCTCATTGGGCAGAACGTCTTTCAGCAGTGTCTCAACGCAATGTCCCGCAGCCTTAGGACCTTCACCCCATCCCTCTTCCCCGCCCACCAAGCGTGAACAAAAACAAAGTTACAAAGTGCGGGTCTTCATCATGGCCTTGACAGCCTTATCAGGTTCGCTGCCGACCTCAAAGTTACAAGGAAAATAATAAGTAGTTACTCGGGTAGGAACCATTGTTTTAGTTGTGATGTTTATAGTTTCCTGGTTGATCAACGGGGTCACCTTATCGCCCATTTAACTTCGGTTGTCCTGTGGGAGGGGGGGAGGTGGGGTGAGTACTTGCCAAAGAAACGTTGCCTCTTCACAGCTGCCCAAGGGTCATCCATGAAGATGAGCATTGGCCCATTGCTCGCTGTAGATCGACTTAGCCGGTGTTGACCACCGTGAATAATGGTCAAATGAGAACCCTGCGGTGGTGACTCATGGGTCGGCAGATGGACACAGGCACCTAAATTGATGTATTTACGACGTAGCCATCTGTGGCTTTTCAAGGCAACTAAATTTCAGCTTGTAAAACATCTATACGTGTGTGTGAATTCAACAGTATTAATATTTAACATTCTTAAAATATCCCACTTTGGAAAAGCGTACATAAGCACAATTAAGTAAACGGTGACCTTGTGGGCCCGGTAAGCGAGTTCATGTTTGTTTTAGTCACGTCGCTCTACGACCTATCTTATAAATCACTGCAGGTAAGGAGGCATCCGTTTCGTCGCCAAAAGAAAAAATATTCATCGCTTTGACCAATGAGCCTTCAGAGCCAGTGTTGGCCGCTCGTGTTTTGTTTCACGTAGGAAAACCCTAGACCTGTTTTAACTTCTCAGAGTCTTATCAGCAGGGTGTTACCGAGAACCTTTCGTAAGAATGCCGCAGTGGAGGCTGATGTTATTGGCTGGAGCCATACGTACAGCTCTGTACCCCCCAAAAGTCTTGTTCAACAGCTCACAGCAACGTCTGAACGAGAGTATTCAAAGCTGCCTCCGCGGATTGTAGGCAATACGTGTTTCCGAGACGGCGCTTGATGATGTCCCTTCCCTGCAGGGAGAACCTCGTGTGGTGTAAGTTAACCACCTCTTGCACTCAACAATAGCAGGGTACACCCCCATTATGTGTACACTCTTGACTACAGTTCAGTGTCAAAGTCAATGCCCCATTATTACTTCTTAAACAATTTTAAAACAGGTGTTAAGATGTTAAAGCACCAAACTGAAACCTTTGCGAGGAATCATGTCTGCATTAACCACATGTACTTGTTTGAGACGAGGCTCTAAAGAAAGCTGTCTCTGGTGTGGACCAATCAGTTTCGAAGACAATGCACATACTGTCAGAGCATGTTTTTTTGTTTGCATATTCACCACAAGTTTACGTGGCTAATGCAGACATTCTTGCAAAGGTTTCAGTTTGGTGTTTTAACATCTTAACACAACTGTTTTATTGCCAGAAAGGGGAAAACCTTATTATCATAATTTAATACTGGCAAAGGAGGTCTCATGACGTTTCAAAACAGTTGCCGAGCACAGGGCCCAGAGGCCGAAAACACCAAGCGGCCAGCAACAATCAGCACTATCAAAGTTGTAATCGATAAAGAGTTAGCACGTTTCTTGATTTGATCAAGAAAAATTGACGACAGGAGGAAATTACAAAGTGACAGCAGAAGAAGCAGACGGAGAGAAGTGGTCAGGAGCCGCAGCGGTGGCGGTGGAACTCGGTGCCGATGAGACGAGACAGTCGGTCCGTTAGAGTCCTCAACATGGGTTGGCGAATCAAGTTCATGGGAACCGTGTTGCCAGTTGTCATGCGCGCACGCTCTGATGCTGTCGTGTGAGTGTGTGCGTGAGCCCGTGTTTACGCTATTCCCGTTTTAAAATAGCTCCAAATCGACGGCGACTGCTTCTACAGCTCCACATTGTGCAGCTTGATTATTTTTTCAATTTTCCCACGAAGCCCGAGGAAGCATTTTCCCAGACCGTTAGCACTCTGCGCTGTTTTCTCTCATCGCGATGGAATGCGTCCCACCGCTGAGCGTGGCTTGTCGCTGTAGAAATCCCCAGAAGCCGTATCGTAAAGTGCACAAGGTGAAGTCTGTAAAGCGCAGACATGTTTTATGGATCAGCAACAGAACCACTTTGGGATATGGCACTCCTATCAATAATCATCATCACTTCTGCATTGTGGTTTAGTAGGCGGGCATCCTTGCAAGTTTGTTAGTAAACTTTGCCACTTTCGTGGATGTCTACTGGCCATAGAATCGTCCTTACCCTCCCCCCATGGCCAGGCTTATTGCCATGCTAGACAGAATCCCCTGTACACACGTGTCAATCAAGAGTCGCCTGCTCAAACGAGAATCGGGTTGATGCTCGCCCTCCAATGGCGGCGTGGAGCCTGTGGCGGTCATTCCGAATGGGGTGACTGCTTGTTGACTGCTGTTTTTAAATTTAGGGGCTCAGTGCATTTTTCATCACCCTTAGCTTCTATATTTTTTTCAGAAGCGACTTGCCCACAAATGGTGCTCACGAAGTGGTTTACCGGGTGGAAATTTGTCAAATATTCTACTGGAAATGCACGTTGATTCTAAATGTGGCGGGGGAAAAACCAGAGGACCCGGAGAAAAATGTACGCGGCCACAGGGAGAGAAACATGCAAACTCCAAATATACAGGCGTCAGGGTTGAGATCGAACTCGGGACCTTCTGCATACCAGGCGAGGGAGTTAACATCTCGCCACCGCGGTCAAGGCCAACATCAGTGGCATTTATCAGCTTTGTGAAAAGAATGCGAAACGGCCAGATTGACCAAGGGCTCGGGAAGGCCTTCATCTAGCCATGGATTTACAAAGACCTCGACATATCCGTGTTAATACCTGAAGGTGTGTCCTAAGAACAAAAGGGCAACATTTGTGCAGCGTACGCGGTCAAAACATCCCTAAGCAGGACACCGGCATTTTGACAGATACGAGACTGAGAGAAACCATTCTTAAACCCGTGCGTTCTGGAAGGAAATATGTTGTGATGCCAAAACAACACGCCCCTCACACAATAGAGCCTCAGGCATAATTTAATGTAAATGTCACAACCACAAAAAAAAACATAGCAGTAGTTACGTCAGTGTCTGCCTCGGCTCGATGAGCAATGGGGTTGGGGGGGGGCACTTGGGTCAATTCCTGCACCTCCGATTTCGCACGGTTGGCTACGTATGGTGCGAAAGAAGTTCATCATACATTTGATCATCGATTATCAAGCGCGCGGTTATCCGGCTTCCACCACCCTGAAGGTTGAAACCAGTCTGGCGATCGGCAGCATGTTCCCGTGACAAAAAAGTATATAAAATACACTACATTATACACTGCATGCAACTTAAACAAAAAAACACTGTACTTTTATATATCGACCCATGCAGAGTCTTGGTGATCGGAGTGGGTAAGTACGGTACAGTAAATACAGTAACTTTTAAAAATAGGATATTTATTTTTGTCTATTTGTATGTTCATGCCAATTTTATAGAGTAAACTAATTTAAAACACTAATAAAGCATAACTACAACATTTAATACAAGCATGTGCAAAAATAAGCAATTTTAAATTATTATTAGTTATTATCCGGAATTTTAAAAAATCTGGCGGATAATAGATGATCTACTGTCCATACATACATTGGCAGCCCTCGGCCAGATGGAGATTCTACATTTCTATGACGGGGCCATTCTCCCCATAAAAAAAATGTTGGCTTTTCGCAAGGCGGTACTTAGTTTATAAACTTTTTGAGGGACGATGTTGCGAGTGAACGAGCTCCGCACTCGCCGTGCACAGAGCGCTTTTGCCACAAGGCCACTCGGTCAGATGAGCAACTGTACGTGTATCGTCCTCTTGTCGATCCACTGCTGGATGGGGACATCGCCACATGGTGTTGGTTGTGGGGGGTTGTATGACTAAACTTTACCACGCTGGTCAGTGAGGGTTGGTGAAGGATGGGGAGGAAGCATAGACATCCAGTACAACAATGGATTTCCTGCACACTGCCCGCGACTGCTCACCACGTAGTGTTGAGCCGGGTGCTTGCCCATCCCAGCACTATCCAGGCTCAAACTCTTCTTAGCCTCTGAGGTCTGATGAGATTGAGCACATTCCGGGTGATTTAGTCACAGAATGAGTAATTATGTTGCTGCGGGTTTAACGCTGCTTTATTACGCTTCCCTGTACGGTGCAGTACTGTATTATCAACTCAGTACAACCGCAAATGTGTCGTTAGTGTTAATCGTGGCAGACTCGTACATAGTCCTATTTGTAGCAGTGTGACCAGTTTCAGAACAATTTTTTCCTCTTTTAAAAATGTCACATCGAATTGGGTCAACCGTAAAGGGGCTTTAACCAAACATAGCTTTGCTATGCCTGAGGCCCCAAGTGTTTAACCCCAGCTCATCAACCACCACGGTCCCATAGTGCCAAACAGCTCCTATAGGCTGCAAGAAAAGCCTTAAAACCCTAGGATAGACGCGACATTGTTGTTGATTTCACCGCACGTCATGTGGTGCTCTTTCCGCACGGGTGCCGTGGTGGTGACTGCGGCCCGTGGTTACCGCATCCAGTCCTCGTGCAACACAACACACGCACGGCCCTTTCTGTCAATCCACTGCTGGATGAGCGCCTCCCCAACGGTCTAACAACATGGGGGTCGTTAGACCATACTTCACCATCAGAGGCCGCAATCGGGTACCCGATAATCATACCCGGCCGGGTACGGGTACCCGTTTGCGACCCTGGTGCGGCCGGGTACGGGTAAGGGTAGGCCGTGAGTCACTGGTGAGTAACCGTTTGTCACTCATTTTCCAACGTCTTGTCTCTTCTCACAATTCAAGTTCCTAGAATCAACCCACCCGCGCCTGCAACATGGCGTCATCCCAGAGGTCGCAATCGGGTACTCGATACCCGTACCCTACCCGATACCCAGCTACCCGTACCCGGCCGGGTATCGGGTAGGGTACGGGTACCCGTTTGTGACCCTGGTGCGGCCAGGTACGGGTACGGGTAAGGAATCAAAACCCGTTTGCGACCTCTGTTCACCACTCCGTTCAGTGCAGATTTGGCGAAGAGGAGGGGCATAGACGTGGGGGCATAGAAGTGGTTTGTACTGCCTCTGCTGTCCACAATATAGTCCTATGGCAACCTGTCGTGCATGGTGGTCCCTCATCCAAGCACTATTGAGGCTGACGCCTACTTGGGTAATGACGTCATTTCGGAGGGGAGGCGCACACTTGCCGTGGTGACGGCGTGAAATGACAGTAACTGCCAAAGCAGAACTCGAGCACAATTGGTATTTAAATATGAAAAAAGGATAAGGAGAAAATATCCATCGTTAGAGAATTGAACATTTCTGGTCATTAAGCAAACCGATGGTGGCGGTCAGTATTCAAACCCGCGTTGGGCTTTCTCTTAGATCTGTTCAGCCTAAAATGAGTACCGATTGCAATGCGGGCATGAACGTCGTATACCTGTAATTCTCCACCTTGTGGTCCACAGACGATCGTTGGTGGGCCGCAAGGCCGTGGGATGTGGGCTGCAGAACTATTGAGGATACGATGTTTTTCACAAAAGGCCAACATTTGTTACCGCATGGTGGTTCCACAACATAGATTTTGAGGGTTGACGGTGGTTCGCACAGGTCGAGAAAGGTTTTGGAGCCAATGGGGAGCAGCGGCGAAGTGGTTAGCATGCCACGCTACGAACCCGGCGACCCAGGTTCGATTCCCGCTCACGGCCAACACCAGTGATAATTATTTGAACCGGTCCTGGGCCTCCCCTAGGTCGACTGAGCCTCAAATGGGTACCTGGTGCAGTGTGTAAATATGGCCAGTTGGGAAACAAAAACGGCCCGGCGTGGTGCTGGCCAACCGCCCCCTCATGTGCCACAGTGCCGCCTTCATAGATGATCGCTGACAGCACTTACCCTAACAGTCTGTTATAGGCGATACGGGGGATTTTTGTCTTTGGTGCCCTTGACAGAGACAATCGGGATGGAAAGGTGGCCGGGTATGCGTTGCGTTTGTAAGAGCTGCCTCGTCGTGCGTTTCACTTGCAGCCCCTTGCCGCGACGTTCCGTGAGGCCAAATCTCTGCGCGTCTCTTGCAGGTGGAGCAGTCCAAGGTGGTGCTCAAGGAGGGCGGCGTGCAGCTCACGCTCACCATAGTGGACACGCCAGGCTTTGGCGACGCGGTGGACAACAGCAGCTGGTACCGTTAACGCACAGAGCCACGGACAAAACACGGTAGTTGTGCGGCTTGTGCAATGCGAAGCCACGCTCATTACTTTAAAAAATAATGTATTGTGGTAAACCCACAAGCCTGATACAATGCACCAATGGTTTCTGGGAAGAGAGGGACAGAATGACCGCGTGGACCGCTCATTTATTTTTAAAACCTTTTTCCTCAAGCTTCATCTTATTGATATTGCTGCCACGCCATAAGATGAGGGGTCCATTTCCCATACCTCTGATTAGTACGGCTGGAAACGTACGTTCCGAAAGAAGTTCATACGTACATGTACGTATATTTGGAACTCTTTTAGAACAATGCAAACCATCGTGTCAGACAACGGCCCATGGAAGCAGATACCACAGAGCTACCATTGAGATCCCTTCAAGTGACCTATGTTCCAACAGTAGGGGACAGCACTTTTATACCTGCCCTGCTACTGAGAGTTATGTTCATTACGTGACAGTAAAACTGATCTTTTAAATTCTCAGCGCTGCGCTGAATGATATTCATGAGGTTGGCGGACCTTTCCTTTAACTTGCTTGCTCGCACAACCTCGCCTGTCTGCACACAGACGCATGATTCAATTCCCTCTCGGTATTTTACTGATGTGGGTTCAGCATGCTTACCCTGATGTATGGCAATTGGTCCTCATGGAATGCCAATTAGTAGGTAGTGGGGCTTGTGTTTGTTTCTCAGTTTGCTTGCATTCATAATCGGTGCACACACACGGCCACACGCAAGAAAAAAGATCCCCCGTGTATCCTGGAACAGACTGTTGGGGCAAGTGCTGTTAGCGAGTAGCACCTATGAAGGCCGGCACGGCACATGAGGGGGTTGGTAGCCAGCACCACGCCGGACTGCCTTTGCCTCCCGAGTACTTAAGGGATGCCCAGGGGATGCCCAGGACCGGTTAAGATATTTGTCACCGATGTTGACCGTGGGCGAGAATCGAATTCGGGTCGCCGGGTTTGTAGTGCTGACCGCTACACTACCACTCTCCATACGCATGCACGTGCACACGCACATGCAATTACAATCGCCATTCGCCACTAAGTGGCGGTGACGTCACCATGACGCTTGTGCCAGGCTATGTGCACGTTGAGGCCACGTGATGTGTCGGACGCCCTCTGGCAGGAGGTCACGGGGCAGACCCAGGTGCCACGGGTCGACTGACTAAGATGACTAGCTGATGCACCACCTGTGCCCCCTACTGTGCCAACTTGCTGTGTTTTAGCCACCCGGCACTCCGCTCGTTGTGCTGAGCATCGCTCCTCCGCCCTCCGTTGTTGCTGGAGGGCGACTGCCTCCAACTGCCCAGTAGCGTCCTTCACGAGCCTCCTCCACAGAGGCCGATCTTGACACCGCTGGTACCAGTCATCGGCAAGTCCACTCAGCTCCACATCATCCTGTATTACATAACTCCATCGCTTCTCTAGCCCATGCCGTGCCCGTTTAGCCCTCTCGATCCGGCCGAACAAAAGCTGTTTAGGCATGCGGTGGCTGGGCATGCGGGCTACATGACCCAGCCAACGCAGCCTTCCCTGCCGGAGGTGCTCACCGATGGGACTTTGCCCAGATCTTTTAAGGATTTGTGAGCTCCTCACACAATTCAGCCTGGTTAAACCCAGGATGGATCATAGGCAGGCCAGCCTAAATGTTTCTAACCGGCGAAAGTGTTCCATTAGGGGGGTCCACGTTTCGCAAGCGTAGAGAAGGGAGAGAATGACCGTGGCTGAGAAGACCTGAAGCTTCGTGCGGAGCAACAGACCCGGTAGCTTCCACACAGCGTTACGCAACCGATGAAAAGATAATGCTGCTCGACTGATTCGGAGTGAGGCCTCTGCTGTCAAACCGGAGCCGGTCCAGGTATGGGAAACTCTCCACTCTCTCCACAACTGCCCTATCACTAATTGGGAGTTGTGGGTGTGGAGTATCCGATGGTACAACATACCCCAGGTGCTTAGTTTTGGTGGGGCTGATGGTAAGTCCCCACCTCTTAGTGGCAAGCTCCAGGTTCAGCAGCAGCGCCTCCAACTCCTCCTCTGAGTGAGCAGCAATTACCAGATAATCGGCATACATAACATGGTTGAGCAATAGGGAGCCATCCTTTGACCTACGTGGTCGAAATAGATGTTAAATAATGTGGGAGCCAGAGGACATCCCTGTCACACCCCAAGGTGTACAGGGAATGGCTCTGACTCCCGGCCACGTAGTTTTACCCGGGCCCGCTCACCATCATGAAGGTCCTTAATGATCGTGAACAGTGGGTCAGGGACTCCGAAAGCACGAAGAACAACTCAGAGCCCAGGCCTACTGATGGTATCATAGGCCTTGACCAGGTCAATAAAGCAGAGATGTAGGTTTTGTTGGCATTCCCTACATCTCTGCTGTAGCAGACGGACAGAAAATATGGCATCTGTGCAGGACCGCCCTTTCCTGAAACCGCATTGGGGATCCGCAAGCCTCTCCTCAGCGTGCCTAGCAAGGCGATGTTGAATAATCCTTGCCAGGACCTTTCCCGGCACACTGAGGAGTGAGATGCCCCTGTAGTTGTTACAGTCTGTGCAGTCCCCCTTCTTAAAGAGAGTGACCACCAGGGCATCCTTCCAATCCTGCGGAACCCGTCCAGTGGTCCAGACTGTTGTTATGATGTCATGTAGGGTAGTCTGTGCACAAATGCCTCTCTCCCTCAGCATTTCACTTGGGAGATCATCTCTGCCCAATGCCTTTTCTGGTCTGAGGCTCTGGATCGCCTTCAGTACTTCCTTAACAGATGGCACCTCAGCCAGCCACTCGCACAGGGTGACTTCTTCCAGTATTTGAGGCACCGCAGCCTCAGCAGGGTCATCCCCACTTTGTCTCACGATGTTTTCCAGGCTGAGGGATTTCCCCTCCCCCAGGACCTCGCAGAAATGCTCAGCAAATCTGCAAACCTGTTCCTGGGGGTCGGAGATTGGATCACCGTTATTTCTCCTAATGATGGTAATAGGTGTGGTGCTACAGGTTACTTTTTTTATGGAATTAAAGAGCGATTTGTGATTGCGGGCCATTGAGGCAGACTCCATCTCCTCAGCGACCCGTGACCACCAACCATCCTTGCAGTGCCCCACGGCTCTCCAAATCTCCGAGCGAAGGCTGCGGTAAGCCTCCTCATTCTCTGACATAGGATGCTGTTGACGATGAGAGTGGGCCTCAACATCAGGTGGAGTGGGGGACTATGCCAACCCCAGCCGCAAGCGTTGATGAAATTCTATCTTGCAACTTTTCATCAGCTAGCTGAGACCATGCCACAATGGGTTTGAATGGGGTCCTGGGTGTACACCTACCATCGGAGTGGAAGAATGGCAGGTGCATCTTACAGATGACAAGTCGATGGTCAGTGGGCAGATCCAGCTCCACGGTAGGTCCTGGTGTTAAGGACCTGGGCCCGCATCCGCTGTTCCGTCACTATGTAGTCCAGCAAATGTTCTTGCTTGGACCCGGCATATATCCATGATGTTGTGTGGATGCGCCGATGTCGGGACTGCGTGTTAGTAATTACAAGCCCATGGGCTACACAAACATCGAGCAGCCTCCGTCCGTTGTTATTGAGCTGATCTGGCCCATGCCTTCCAATTACTCCAGACCAGGTGATAGCATCATGACCAACTCGGGCATTAAAGTCACCCAACAAGAGGACAATTTAGCCAGCACCTGTGACAGGAGGTCATAGAAGGCATCGGACTCATTGACCTTGCCTGTTGAGGAAGTACTGAAGGCAATCCAGATATTTGTCACCGATGTTGGCCGTGGGCGAGAATCGAATTCGGGTCGCCGGGTTCGTAGTGCTGACCGCTACACGACTGCTCTCCATACATACACACGCACGCGCGCACGCACATGTGCATGCAAACACACATGCGCACACCCTCGCACTAAAACAACAGCGCGGTCGCAGTGGTTTTGCACTCCTACAACCCAGCGCTTGGGAGGCGGATCGCACTCGGGAGATCACGTGCGGCAGACACCCAGCTGCTTGGCCTTTACGATGCGGTAGGGTAAGTAGGTTGCATACCGACTTCGTACAGTTTGTGTTATGCTTGCATAAGTACAGAGTGTTTCGTGGGAGGTACTCGGGTTTCCATCGGCACGTAGAATGCTGGAACGAAAATCACGCTATGCAGGATGGGCTCAAGAAGTGTTCATACTCTTAGGTTTTTTCGGTAAAGTCACGTAGGTACAAAAATAAATAATAAAAATTTATAATACAAATAATAGAATAAATAATAGAAAAAAAAAATCACGACGTTTCGGAGGCAACACAAGCTTCCGTCTTCAGCTTCAAATCTAGAATCAAGAAGTGTTGACTAATTTAGGACCTACAATGGGTCAATGTTATCAGTTTTATTATCATACGATACAGGGTGTCCATAAAAGTATCATTTGCTCATTAAGAATTCTAATCGGACAGTAGCTTGAGCTAGACCAGTAAAATTCCACACACAAACACGCTTGAGAGTGAAGATTCCGTCACATGAGTTCAACATACATACATTCCCCTACACCTCCACGGCATTGGTGACGCACGTCCTGTCGAGATTCCAGACAGTCCCCAGGTGTTTGCCAACATCCTGGTTCCGATTGTTGAGAATGCTTTTGTAATATATTCGTATTTTCACTTTTCCAAACTGCCTGTAATCGTAGCATTCGACAATGGCACATTGTGGGGCCGCTTGCTCGCGGTTTTGCCACCTGTGCCACGAGTATCGCCCAGTTCCAGCGAAAGACAAACACCTTATTAGTACAGGTAGTCCTCTACTTACGATGCAGATGCGTTACGACGACCCCATCGTAAGTCAAAAATATCGTAAGTCGAAGATGGCCTAGCCTACCCAGGAGTCTTAAAGAATGGTGATCATTTAGCAAAACAGAGCAATTTACAGTACCGTACTGTATAAACTATATACTGTATGTATTAATTACAATACTGTATTGCAAAGTCAAATGTAAAGTAAAAAAACAAGGTAAATTCTTAGCCTACCTATATGAACTGCAATTTAATAGAAAGTTTTTTTTAGGAAACAATCCCATCTGCTATAAAAAGCAACGTACAGTATCGTACCTCGTACGCTGCTGCGTTTGCCTGCCGGGCGAAATTTTTAATATTTTACAATTTGGTCGTATCGCCATCGTAAGATCGAAATATCGTAAGTCGGACCATCGTAACTCGGACTACCTGTACTTTGACACTGCGTCCAACGGTGTTCCTGCATTCGGAGGGGGAGAGGGAGACTACTAACCAGCGAATCTTTATCAATGCAATTCCGTATTTTATGAATCACTCTGCGATCCTGGCTGCGACCTGCCAAGCAATCTAGAATTATCGTTTCAGAAAATGCCTTTACATAGTTTAACACGTAGCAAGCTTTCGCTACCAATATCATCCATAATCCAGATTTTTTGGGTTAGATCGCATAAATATATAGATGTGTTGTGAAACCCGCCACCACCCGACACAGTCAATTAGTAAGGTTTGTCACATAAACAGAACGTGCCAATTCGTTACTGGTACAGCACACCGGTGTGTTGGAGAGCAAAGCCACAACAATCTGAGTACGACGTTTTGCCAGTAATTGAAGCTGGTTGTAATTACTGGCGAAACGTCGTACTCAGATGGTAAATGTTGTGGCTTGGCTCTCTAACCGGTGTGCTGTCCTAGTAACGAATTGGCCACGTTCTGTTTACGTGACAAACCTTACTAATTGGCTGTGTCGGGTGGTGGCAGGTTTAACGACACATATTTACGCGATCTAATCCAATAAACTTGTATTATGGATCTTCTTCTTCCTAGCGTTGTTCCCGCTGTGGCGCAGGGTCCGCTTTTCGGCATTGTCTTCTCCATTTGGCTCGGTCCAGGGCATCTTCAGGGGATGCGTTGACCGTCTTCATGTCTTCCTTTATTCGGTCCATCCATCGCTTCTTCGGACGTCCGCGTGGACGGCGGCCCTCTGACTCAATACGCACGGCAGTCTTGGCCACTGATGACTCTTCACTTCGCATCACATGGCCGTACCACCGAAGCCTTGCCTCAAGCATAAACTTGTATTATGGATGACTTTACATAATTAGCGTAATTTAATCGTGTTAAGTCCTTTTTTTGCCAATGAGCAGCTGGGTAACAGGAGCTCTCAACCAGTTATCCGTTTCGGGTGTTTCGAGATATTAGGCTTGAGCGTTGCCACTCTCTGTGCACTCTTGTGAATGTTGTCACAGAGTTCTCTTTAGTGCACGGAGTTGCAGCAGGGAGCAGTTGCTGATAGCATCCCCACGCTCAAGTTACCGAACAGCTGTAGCGGGAATCGAACTGTGTCGACCCTGTACATAAACTAGACAGATGGATGAGCGTGGTGACCGCTAATCCACCCAGCTGTGTCATCACAGTGGGAGCGAGACACGTGGCTACAGCCATATTGAACGTGCACTTTTGTCTCGCCCCTTTCGTTCGTCAATCTTGCTTTACGAGACTAGTCCCAAAGTTTATCATTGAAAGTATGTATGTGTGCTGAAAGTCTTTCTCACAGTACGTAGCCATCCATGCTAATTGGAGGTGCGAATACACAGTCCCAAAGGTTTGCTTGAACCTCCGACGTGCATGTGGTGCAGACTTGTTTGTGTAGCACAGTAATGTTGGTGATGAGCTCTGCCGCATCACTGCATGTCTTGGTCTTACACCCACCAACCACTCACCTGACACTCACCACTCAATCACCAGACGCTCATGAGGCGGAGGTGGGGGGGGGCTTGTGTTCGGCGTAGGTCGTTTGACCTTCAGCAGTGACTGATTGACACCTGGGAGCATTCCGATTGGTCAGTGATGACAGGCAGACACAAAACGGACAGTAGCAGCATGCCTGCCCGGGCATCGTGCCGGTCACACTCATCTGCTTGTGTGCGCCGTGGTTGCCTTATTAGGTGCTCGCTAATGGCCCCATCAGTCAGTAAGACAATAGGGGTATCTTTGTCTACCTGTGTGTGTGTGAGCAGCTGGCAGTCCATCATCGACTACATCGACAGCAAATGTGAGGACTACCTCAATGCGGAGGCTCGGGTCAACCGGAGACTCATGCCTGACAGCCGCGTGCACTGCTGCCTCTACTTCATCTTCCCTTCCGGCCATGGGTACGTGTGTGTTAAAGCATGTGTGTGCGTGCGTCCACGCATGTGCGTGTTCACGTATGTGCGTGTTCACGTACGTGCGTGCGAGCGTCCACGTGTGTGGACGCTCACTCGCACGTACGTGCACATGGACGTACGCGTGCGTGAGTGCGGTTGGTTGTTGTGGTAGCGTGTGTAGTGGTTAACGAACGGCGCGACGAACTAAAGTCGTTGATTACCGGCTCGGGTAATGACATTGTGGATAAATAAATTGTCCCATTGATATAACTGCTCATCCTGAGCTATTCATGCTTTGATACTTGCTTTGCCTTTGTACCATTGGCCTTTTGGCATTCTCTGGTCTCACACTGGTACAGAGAAAAGGCCAAAAAGAAGGCTGTCTCTGTAGTCCAGTCGGTTTCAAAGGCGATGCATATGTAATATATTATAACTCGCTTCACGACCCGGCTTCGCCCAAGACTTGGATTCTTGTCTTGGATTCGTACACGGCCTACGCGGAGGGTTGGGGGGGAGGGGTGCGTGACGTCAGCAGGCACACTGCGTAACACTGCCGCATGTGGGTGACATCACAGATGTGACGTGCAAAATATTATATACATTATTGTGCTCCCCCAAAAATACAAAAGTCTATTTTTAGACTTTTTGATTGGTGAACAGTCTGGAAGCTACCCACATGCCAAATTTCAAGAATTTTGCATGTTGGGACGTATACTAAACATTTCGAACAGACACACATATTCACAAATTTCCCTTTTATTTTTATAGATCAGAGAATGTTGGTTTACATGTTTTGCCACAACGCAAGCCTTGACAGACCTGGTTTCACCTGAGGACGGCTGCTTGCGTTGTGGCCGAAACGTCGTGAGAATTATTTTATTATGTTTTATTTTTATTTTATTACTTCCCTTCTACGTGACTTTACCGAAAGAACCAAGAAGATGAATCCCTGAAGTCACGAAAGCTTTAAATCGAAATTATATTACTATGTATGTATGTTGAACTTATTTCGCACCGTACGTAGCCAACTGCTATAATCGAAGGTGCGGTATAATAGTAGTGGGTACAGTGGTTAACCCATTGCTCTACGAATCTAGAAGCCTCGGTTCGATTCCTGACTGCGGCTTGCCGGCACCGACTCGCGTGAAGGCTGGTGGGTGTGTGCACCGTGCCCCTCTTCCCTTCCCATGCCATCTGGCTGCCTCTGCATTTGAACTCTTGGCGGAAGAATCGGAGGGATTTTCACGAGTACTTTATTGAGGATTTGCAAACTGGCGTTTGAGGAAAGTGTGGTGGAGTAGCTCTTGACTGTTGGGTTCAAACACAAAAGTCAAAACTTATCCCTGTTCCCAACGAGTGTGGGGGGCGGGTGCTCATCTCTGTGTAGGCAGCCTTAACAAGTGGTGGAAATTCCACATTCTTGAGGACAGGTTATGAGTATCTCCATAGGACAGCCGCTGTTGAGTTCCTCTGTATGTGTGTGGAACTTCTTTCGCACCGTAGATAGCCAACCGTGCCAATCGGAGGTGCGGGGGAAGGACAACAAACTAAACACTAAAAGCAGTTTTAAAACACTGCTTGCTTGTGGTTGCTTGTGGATCAAAAGTCCTCTCTCCACAAGAGTGAGCGAATACTGCTGCGTGTGTTACAAGTTTAAGTTATTGTTTTTACTACTAATTTGTTGACCCCGTAATGGATGATGGCCCGAGTCCACCTTCTGACCAGTATTTAAACCTGCCAGTTTGTTGCTAAGTGCTCCTGCTACAGTGCCACCCTGCTGATGGGTAGACGCGTGTGTTTAGACTTAGGGTTGTATTTACTTAAACTTACGTGGATTGGAGGGAGGGGGAGGTCCTTGGTCCTCTTGAAAAACCTCAATGATTGAATCTGGCTGCTAATCCCAGCGACCATGGGACCACTTATTAAGAAACCCAGCCCTTTTTGCTTGGATCCAGGAAACAGGATTTCATGCCAATTACATTTCTCGAAAGGTGACATCATCGGGAAATGTGTGCGTCCCGCTGGAGGATGTTGATTTTATTTAAGTGACGTGTTTATCCTGTCTGGCTAGTTACTGTAAAAGCAGTCTATGTAAAGTGAAGCGGGCCATGCAGCCTCATTCAAGCATTACAGACAACACATTGTCGAAATAACTCTTGCTGACGAGCGAAGATCAACATTCTAGATACAATGCACATTTCGGTAACAACATCTAAATGTTTTCTTCTTGGTTCTTTCGGTAAGTCACGTAGAAGGGAAGTAATAACATAATAAAAATAAAACATAATAAAATAATTCTCACGACGTTTCGGCCACAACGCAAGCAGCCGTCTTTTGAAGACCTGACTTTACCGAAAGAACCAAGAAGATGAATCCCTGCAGTCACGAAAGCTTTAAATCGAAAGATCTAAATGTACAAAGACAACTCATTTGATATGACCCCATCAAACACTGTTGATGCATTTCACCGGTGCTATCATGCACCTCGATCTTGATGACCCGCTCCTACTGGGCATCTGTGAACAGGAGTTTCATAGCTCATCGACAAGCCTCCAGTCTAAATAAATATTCTTATTCGATGCATAAAACGACCCCAGTGATTCCTTGGGGTTGAACCGCAAGCCCTCTTATTGCTCGCAACAAGAAGGCTTCAAGAAGCAAAGTGCCTGTGTGTCCCCATTAGCTTCATGAAGATTTAGTGGCCAATACTTAAGTGTTATGCGTCTTGTAATTCTCTCCCCGCTCAGACACGCAGTAATATAGGGTGGTACATGTTGCTGTTCGTGGCCGAGGACGAGTGCTTGGTCCATTTCACCATTGGATAACTCCTGTTGACTTCCTGCAGGAGGCAGGGCTTTTGTTAAACAGGACGATTTGTCCACAGCTCTGGCTGTCGCCTGATGAGGCAGGTTGAAATTACCGGTGAAAAGTCGTTAACTGGAATTGTAAATGTTGTGGGTTTTACTCTCCAATGCACTAGTCACGAATTGGCATGTTTTTACGTGACAAACCTTACGGGTGGTGGTGGGTTTAACGGCACAATTTATATTTACGCGATTTAGCCCAAAAACCCCTCTGGTTTTGTTATCCCCAAAGGGATTATGGGGGCCTGAGTTCTGTTCTTTTTTCGATTTCTAAAGCGCCTTTTGCCACCGACATTAGTTGAACTCACGAGGCTTTGCGTATCGAGTCGAGCACCCTGTGACCACAGTGCCGTACGACCACCGAACCTTTAATTGGTCGTGAGAAAAACCCAACACGGCTTGGGAGTCGTGGGGCATGGGTGTATTTGCCGTCAGCCATCTCTCATGGAGGCTGTGAATTCCTGAAAAACCGACCCACCCCCCACCACCAGCGAAAACGAAATAAAACTGCAGGCGTCACGTGGCTAAAGTTTACCCAGATTAAAGAGGGAGATTGAATGTCGGGCACACACACGTGGCCATGGAGAGCATTTCGTGTGTGTGCCGTTGTGAAAGGGTCGTGCAGTGGTTTGCGCGTTGCACTACGAACATGGCCACCAGAGATCAGTGGTGAATAATCCGAAGCAGTCCTGGGCCTCCCCGAGCTTGACTGCCTTAGATAAGTACCCTTGTGCACTCTGTAAACATCAGCACTGGGGAGACAAAGGTGACCGAGCGTGGTGTTGACCACCCGCCCCCCTCATGTGCCATGTTGGCCTGCATGGGTGCATGCTAACAGCACTTTCATAGTCTGCGAAAGCCTATACGGGGGATCTTTGCTTTTGTGTACTGATAACAATGCAACAGTGCACGCTGAGATATGCAATTGTACATGTTACTTTTGTTGGATTGGACGATAGTTACTTCTGTGCTGTATTCTCGACTATATTGTACAACAGCAGCTGTTCACTATTAAGTGACGTCACCACGGTGCTTGTGCCAGGCTAGGAGCACTTCATGAAGCCTTAACAGTGCTCACTGATGGTACTTGCCCCAACAGCCTGTTAGAGACTATGGAAGGGCGTGGGCGGGATCTCTTTTGCCTTTCTTTTTCGTGTTGGGAAGAGAGGCGCGGAACGGGCCGTTGAAGATGCACAGTTGCGCGAAATGCCGTTCGTATTCCCTAGACGGTGGGCCGGCTGGAAGTGCTTTTGCATTGCTGGGTCTAATACCAAGCGCGGTGGAATTTCCTGTCGCTGGGGGGGGGGGGGGCGGTGGTACCGTCGTGTTTCTGCACTTACAGTAGCCCGCGCGGCGGGTAATACACGCGCACGATACGCAGTCGATTTGCTACGCCTGGTTGAAAACTTCACGGGCTTAGCAGGCGAACTAATTGCGGTGATAGCGAGCGGCAAGTGTCAACGACTAGTCCTCGAAGGGTTAGCTGCATACACAGGTGGATTTGACGCGGCAAACCTTGTAGCTGTGGACAGGCATTGCTGACCACTGGACCGCATTACTCCTGTCGTTTACAATTTCGGCAAAAAGTTGCAGGAACAACGAAGTCGAGGCAAAACTTATTCATTCTCAGACACGGAGGGTAGTGCCCTTCTCCACTCATATCCCAGCTCCAGTTGTGGTCATTCCACATTCCCATGGTGCAACCCATGGTCTCCATTGGTTCAACCACGTTATTTTATTATCTGTATTATCATCCAAGGGAGATAATGTGCATGGACCAACCACTCACCGGGAATTTAAACGGCAACCCACGGCTTGTTATTAGGGCACTCTGCCACAGTGCAACGCAGGCAGATGAAAACCACAAATAGTTTCAGCCCTTTCTAAATCCACTACTGGATGAATACCTTTTCGGTCATTGGGCGTTGTTGAACGATTACTTCATGCTTATTGGTGGGTTAGTGAAGAGGGGGTGGGGTATTAACCGTGGCTCAGAATCAACCTCTGGTGGCCACACTGAAAGCACAGTGTGCTCGCCACTTAAATACTAACCACATAAAATAACATTAGACGAACAACACGCACAGCTGTGCTGCTCACAAACGGCAAGCAGGCACAAATCCCATCATCATGCCTTGCACA